AACTGGTTTAAATCCAGCCATTTCAAATCTAGGTGAATTATGCAAATAATGAATCACTGTACTAGGATTTCTAGCACAATAAACCTAACATATGTTTACTCTAAAGGAAGCTCCATTGCTTTCAATGGGGGATACTGCTAGGTAAATGCACACAGACTATAGCCTTAAACCAATTCCCCCTAAAATGCAATGCACATTTATCTGGGAGTAACTCCCATTGAACTTTATAGAACTTACTTCTGAGGAGACATGCCTAGGTCTATGCTGTCAGGCTGAAATCTTATGCAGTTACCAGGAAAAGTTCCATTAAACTAAACCTTGTATCTGAGTAAACATGCATAACATTGTGCTCTTAATCCTATTGAAGTTAATGGGACAGCTTTCCTTGCTTGTACGCACTTTTTTCAAAAGTTGTCAAAAGTCAATAAAACTAAACAACAATTGGGTTTCCTTCTCATCTTCCATTAAATTGAAAGTAATCACAGAACTATCAAAATTTGGGTGGAGGTTTTAAACTGTCACAGCTAAATCATAACTCTGTTGTAACAATATATAAGGAGGAAGTTCAGAAAGCATAATACAGATTTTAAAAATATCCCCCTTTTAAAAGTGTGTGTGCACGTACACTCACATCTCAGAATAAAACGTATATTTAGGAACAGACAAATATAAATACCTTATTCAGTGGTATTGATAAGAAAAACCATAATTATTAGCTTTTAAGAGAGTCGAATCAGTGGATCAATCAACTGAAGGTTAAGTTGATTAACTGATATCGTGATGTATTAAATCTGTGGGGCTGAAAATTGATTTTGTTTGTTTTAATCCTGCTTTCACTGTGCTATTGAAATAAGAAATGAAAAGGAAAATATTAAAGATGATCCTTCTTTCTAACAAGTGGAAGCTGTCTTCCAACATATCAGAAAATTGCAAATATGCAGGTGTCTTGGAAATACGCAGCTGTTAATCAAAGAGTTAACTAATCAATTAAAAGGTAGATAATTAATCACATGAAATTATTTAGCTGACTGACAGCAATACTAATAGTTGATAATAGCTACCAACACCTGAAAAAGGCAACCCCTAGACTTCCTTTTAACCTGAGAACCTCAAAAGGTTGAAGCTCACCAACAAAGACTTTCTTGTGTTTTTAGGGGGGCGGGGGCAGGAAATACAGTTGTATATTTGAATTACTCACGTTGTGAATTGCGAGGTGCAATACTTGGGACAGAAAACTCTGCATTTATGGTTACCCAATACTGCCAAAAATACAAATCTAAACTACCTTACTAGTTGTCTTGAGGAAACTAAATTAAGCAAAGGCAAACAGCAAATGGAAAGTTGTCAGTCTGCTGGAATGAATAGCTTCATTTTACACACAAACCAAAAATCTGAATATCAGAATATATTGCTGTCCGGAGCCAATGCTTTAACCAACAGCCTGATCCCAAAAGCATTACGGCAAAAGTTAAGTTTCACTGAATTCGGTGTGGAACTTAAATCCACACATGACCATGGCCCACGAGTTTGTTACAAGAGAAAGCACATTGAAAACGTCACCAATTCCCACTTGGTTTATCTGTAAACAGAGAATTACTTTTTTCAGATTCCCAACCTGACATGTTAGAATACGTTTAACTATGAACTTCCACGAATATTTTGCCATAAACTTTTAAACAACATTTAGTTTGGTGCATTCAGAAACGACAATCGAGATTGTCAACTGTAGCTACAGGTAAGATCTGTAGCTACGCAAATAAAGTCTATTGATTGATTATTACTTAAGAATTGTCAAATATCGATAGGTCAACAGTATATATATCCAAACACATACAAAACAAACTTTGAAGCTTTCACTGGTTATTCCGTGCAAAAGTAATGGTGATACCCATGCTTTTCACTTTCATCAATATTTTTAAAGAAACTTTTGAAATTATTAACATGTGCACACTTCTACCTTTCATAAGGTGAAGGTCATAGATAGCAAACTATCTTCGAACCACAAGAGCAAGAAGGAAGTAGTCATTGAGACCTTAAGGACTGGAAAACGTAACACAGTCCTTAATGGTTTCAATCAACAAAATATTGTCTGAATGCTGAAATCTAATGAGCAGCCCCTGTCAGAAGCTCTTCAACAATTTTGCTTTTACTGTCTTTAATGAGCAGGGCTGCAGCACGCAAGCGGTCTATATGTATACAGGCACATTCTTCAAGCACAGCAGATATGGTACATTCATTAAGGCTGAAACACTGTGCACATTTACTTTGAAGTAAATCAGTAAACTCAGTGGAACTTACTTAGACTCTTAGAACTTCATAGGAATAAACAAAATAATTAAGTACCTCGTGCTGATACACACACACACACACAAGTTAAAATAACAGTGTTATTTACAGTTAGAAACTATACACAGTGCTATTCCACAAATACTTGGAAAAGCTATTGTTTCCTTTATGAGATAAAGGCATTTTTAAAAGGCATTCTAAGGAAAGTATTGGCTAAGCTGGCTCGCTGAAGCCTTAGATCAGAGTTCTGCAAGTGCTTACTTTGAGAAAGGAATTTGAATGCCATCAAACTACTCAAATCCTTGTCATAACAGCTTATACTTCACAAATGAAAACATATATGTTGAGGCTCAAACACCTGAAAACTATACCTGCAAGGTTTTTAGCGGGGGCAATTACGATATGGTATCTTTATAAGAATAAGATCTACCATTTGATTATTGATTTAAACCTCCAAAATGTATTTTGTGTAGTGAAGTTTTTAGCTTCAGTACATTTTATTGCTATCTGATCTACCTGAGATCACCTCCTAATCCAAGAAATGTAGTCTGAAAACTACTAGAAAACTATCACAAGCTGGCTTTACGATATATCTTTAAAAAAACCAGTCTCCCTAAAAGGTGAGGTTATATTCTTATTACTTTTGTCCACAACACCCAGAAGTTAGTATAGTAAGCTGAGGACTACATTTCCTCCTCTTGGAGACAGCTCTAAACTTAATCATCTCCCTTTTGATTATGAATATGGCACTGAAGGTTTTGAGGATTTCTATGAAGCTAATGGTTGGTGATGTGTCCTCTATAATACACAGCTTAACCAACTTTTACATCTTTTTAAAAAGAAGGAAACAGAAAGGCCTTTATGTCTTCTTTTAAAGCGGGGGAAGTGAAGTGCTCCATTTGTTTGGATTAGCTATATTTGTAACAAACTTTCACTACAGTTGTAAAAAAAAACAAACCAAAAAAAAAAACCCTTGCAAAATGTTGATATCATTTCCAGACGGCTTTGTCAGCATCACGATTTACAGGAAATAGTTGGTGTTCTCATGAAAGCCCTGCATTTACATCCATGAGCAATGGGACTTGTAAAAAAAAAAGTTTGTTTTTTTTTAAATTAAAAAACAAATCTTCCTTTAGAGTTTGCTTTTCCTAAGATTCTAATTTGTCACTCTGGCGAAAATGCTTGAAAAGGCTTTCTCACCTAATGGACTATTGTGAAGATGAGAACAAGCTGTGCCTTCTCTTCAGAAAGGACAACTGTAAACTTAATTCCTTGTTTGTCCCATTCAGGAACTAACTTTTACCAATGAATTGCACTTTACCATTTGTAACACTTGCCTTTTGTGTTTTGTGTGTGTGTGCAATATTTAAAACCACGAATGCCAAGAGAAGAGCAAATGAACTCTTCCAACAGCAACGTAGTGGAAGAGTCTGTTAAATATGTTTAAATGAAAAGGAAGAAGAAAACGCAAGTCCCACCCAAAAGTCTGGATTCCCATCCTATCATTATTATTTACTATGATCCTTAGCAAGAAGGAGTATTCACAAGGAGCTCACGTATTCACACACAAAATAGCTGTCCACTAGAATGCTGATTCCCCAATTCCCACTTGCACTTTTTCCTCAACTGTATTTTTTCCAACTTTGTTACAGTACTTCCTGCTCATTGGCAAAAGGATGAATGGAAAGAAGGTTCCTTATGAGTCCTCGTGTTTACTCCATCACTTGGCCTCTGACTTTTTTTTTCTTTTTCTTTCCTTCCTTCTCTTTCAGTCAATGAAATTTAGAAGGTTGACATTTGCGGATTGGGAAAAAAACATAGCAACTTAACATTGATATGTACGTACTTTGGTTCTCTCAATCTTTTTTTTTTTAAAGTTGTTAAAGGCACCGAAGCCTTAAATAACACATTGTTTACCGGAAAGTGGTTTAAAATAAAAATAAAAGGAATGCACTAACTCAAACCTACCGAAACATCAGAGGAAAATTCTCCTGAACAACAGAGCACAAGTCGACCCTGAGAAGTGCTAGTGAAATCTAGCAAGCGTCCCTTTATGATCAAAGGCAGAGATTAGAGAAAGGGAGGGGGAGAGACCTATGGGGTAGAAAGTGTCAAGTTTGCACAGTACCCCTTCCACACACACCCCAAAAAAAGGGGGGGGCGAGAGCTTCTTCCTGGAACTTTTAATAACAAACCATCCCACTTGCCTCCCCTTGGTATGTTGATCCCAAGTTACTATCAGCACAACTGCAATATTTTCTTCTTAAAGTATTAGGAAGTTTCCACCTCTCCATTCATTCAGTCCTTGGGTGGGGGGAAAATCTGCCACATGGATCTCAAGTGTAAGCAAATTATTGCTGGGGGGGGGGGTCCTGAAAATTAAACGAAGTAACTTGTAGGAACTCATCGAGAGCTGAACAGAGGTCCTGGCCTTTCAAGGGGGAAAGTTTTTAACTCATTTAAAAGATGCCGTCCCTAACACCACCACATCACCTTTTCTTTTGCTGGGGGGTGTCGGTGGTGAGAGATCAGGAGAGAGTGCTCCCCTTCCCCATCTCCTAAACGCATATATTACACAACGCAACACCCATCACACTTCTCTCCCCATCCACAAGTTACACACACATAACGCAAATAATAATAATAATAATAATAATAATAATAATAATAATAATAATAATAAGTTTCCTCCGTCCCCCCCACCCCGAACTTACTACTTTTCATGATGGTCTCCCTCTTGAGCCTGGATTTTTGCCACAGTCCCCATTCTTTCCTTTTCTTCTATCCTTCTAAAAGAAAGCAATTTCCTCTGGGAACAAATCACCAAGGTGCCAAAACTCTGGAGGGTCTCTGCACTCTCTCTGGGTGCAAGATTGGCAAAACTTTTCTTTTTAAGAATATCTCTGGGCTTTCTTCCCCTTCACCCCTCCTTTCCTTTCCTACATTTGGGGGGGGGGGGTTGGAGGAATTAAATCAAAGCTATGCACGTAGGAAGGGAGGGGAGTCAGGAAAGACACCGGGAGCTTTAGAAGTTGCTTTTCGGGTGGGGGGCGGGAGAGAGGGAGCGCAAGGGGGAAGGGCTTCCCTTTTTTCCCCTTCTCTCCTCGGCTGCTGAACTTGACCCCCGCTGACTCCACCACCAACAGGGCTACTGCAAGTTTTCAAGTCGCCCATTTCCCAAGCATCAACACATGGTTTTGACCCACAAAAGCCAGGCCAAGCAGAGAGGGAGGGAGGTTTTATTTTTTTTAAAAAAATATTGCAAAAAATATTTTTATAAAAATAAAAAAAACCTCCATGCACTTCTACTTCTTCTTTTGCACTATTTTACAACACCCCTTCTTTACAACAACACCACCAAACTCGCCCCCTCTTTCCAACGCACCCTTGGTTTCGGAGCTCTGATTTCTCATTGCGCACGCAGACATAACGCACACGCGATATACCATTTGGAGAATATCCCTTTTTTTATAAATAAATAAATTAAAAAAACCAGAGTCACATACGCAGTGATCGCCAGAAGCAGGAAAGGATTTGCGCGCAACCGGCCCCCCACTCCCCTCCCCTCTTCTTCCTCCTTCCCCCCCCCCACCTCCGATCTCCACCTCTCCTGCCCTCCCCAACAACCACACACACACAAAACACAGCCCCTGATCTTGTTCTTTTTCAAACCGGCCCCCCACCTCCCCACAGGCCCGGTCCTTTAACATCTCCCACCGCCGCCGCCGCCACCACTTACCTGTTGATTAATCAGCAGTAATAATAATAATAATAACCGGAGCAGCTTGAAAGATGGTGGAACTGTCGCTTGAGCCATGAACCGTCTTTCTGTTGTTTGCAACAGAGTTGATCTTGGATTATTTTGGAAGAGGTGGAAAGCGGGGGGGGGGGGGTGGTAAGAGAGAGAGAGAAAGAGAGAGGGAAGGAAGGAGGAGGGGGGAAGAGAAAGGAGGAGGAAGACAGAGAGAGGGAGAAGCGGGGGTTAAAAGCAGGAAGAAAAAGAAAGGGAGGGAGAAAGAGAGAGGGGGAAATAAAGATTTGCTTTTACAACCCCCCCCCCTTCTCGCCCCCTCTGCTGATGGGGAGAGAGAGAGAGAAAGGGGGAAGCGCAAAGGAGGACCTGGATCTGCCTGGTTATGTTTATGAAAAAGGAAAGGGAGAGAGAGAGAGAGCCTGGCTTCTAGTGGCACAAACAAGCCCCAAAAAAGGAGGAGGAGGAGGAGAGGCGAGGAGGCTTTTGGAGATTGCAAGGAGATCAGCTCTTTATCAGAAATGTTATCGCTTGTCAGGACCTCAGTCTCCGAGCATTACGTCAGTTTCAAGACACCAACACTATTAATATCAAAGGGAGCCTTAGCGAGAGAAAAGCGCCACCCCAGACGGAGAGCCCTTAAAGAGACAGTGCAGGCGTCCCCTCTCGCCGCTGCCGGCCTTAGCCCGGCCTCCTCCTCCTCCTCCGGCGGCTCCTCCTCCTCCGTCTCCTCTCGCTCGCGCAATTCGCAGCGGCAGCGGCGGCAGCAGCAGCAGCCCCACGAGGCGAAGGCGGCCGGGGAAGAATCACATCATTCACACGTCTTTGCCCCTGACGGCCGGGGCGGGGAGAGGAGAGGGAAGCGGGGTGGGGAGTGGGTTTCACTTTTGCAAAAGGAGGGAGACTTTATCCTCGTCCCCCCCCAAAAAAAACCCCTCATTTTTTAAAAGGAAAGAAAAAGAAATGCCCCGCACAGGAAGTTTTCAGAGAAGCTTTTGCACCCAATGCTCAATGCTGGCAGAGGCTCTACGGTTGTTTAAAATAGGGGGGGGGGGTTTCCCTACCTGGAGATGCCAGGAATTGAACTTGCAGTGCGAAAGAGCTGCCCCTGGTTTTGCATGGGGGGGGGGGCTTGTCTTGGGCTGGTGCAAGTTTGGGAGCTCACCTTTCCACAGGAGGGATCAGATCCTCAGCTGCCTGCCTTGGGAAAGATGGATTTGGAAAAGTCACAGCATGAAAAAGAGCCTGCATGCAATTTTATGGTTGGAAGTCCCTTGCTCTGTGGGGGAAAGAGAGAGACTTAGGAAAACATCTAACAGCCCAAATCGAGAGTTGGTTAGTAGTGCAAGTAACTTTCGTTTGCTTGTTTTTCATATTAGGTCATTTCTTTTTTCATGCAACCCTAAGCAAGACGCCGCATGAACAGCAGTGCCGAGCCCCTGAAGGGTTTTATCATATAGGTGGTGTACAGTTATATACAGTATGCTTTCGTATGGAAACTTCTAATTAACAAAAGTCAGATTCCCTATACTGTAAATTACCAACCGTCTATGACATTTTTTTTAAAAAAAAAATCCTCTAAGGAAAAATTCTCTGTGAAACATTTTTCAATGTAAAACAAGGAGGTGCTAAAAGAAGGCAAACATTTGTGGGACACTTGTAGAACCCTTCCCCCCCCCCATAGATTACTTGCTGTGGTGTTCTTCCCCTTTGTAATACATTTTAAATTGGCTTCAGACTTCAAGCAGTCGTAATCTAGTTTATTCTCGCTCCTAGTAAGAGATTATCCAGCCAGGAAGCATGAAAAAGCTAATTATTAGCTAGACATAAAGTTATTTCGCACAAAATACGTTTCACTTCATATACAATGTTTCCCTGAAAAGTGTCCTTTTGGTGGTGGGGAGGGGACGCACAATGCAACTAAAAATATTTCAATTTAGCAAACAAAGCAAAAATTAATTTGAAATAAACCAAGGCCTGTTTTGCTAGATTAATCGTTTGCTTATCTTTCGTATAATATACTGGAAGATGTGTAAACTAACTCATTAATTCATATTCCTCCACCACCCACCCCACAAGCTTACTTATGTTCTTTTGTAGGTTTTGTCTGATAAGCACTTCATGAATACGAATGCAATAATTCACAGGCAAGAGGTGAACTTGTGAGGTAAGTAAAATGTAGTTGCTTTATCTGACATATACCATGTTACTTTAAAGAGGGAGAGGAGAATCATTACATGATGTGGAGGACTGATTATATACTCCATCACCAGAAATTCAGTTGGGAAAGCTAAGAAAGGTAATACTCATATCTGTGGTGGAATTTAAAGTCTGTTACTAAGGACTATTTGCATTTTTAATGGTGGAATAATTTACTGTAGTACATTGCTAATATCTACTATAAGCACTCTTTGGGGAAGCAAGATCTGCACGTTTTATTTTATTAAGCTCTAAATCCGATTGCTGAAGAAATTTTAGACAGAGACAATGTCTGGAATAATTTACGCAAACAAGGACTGGCGTTCATTTTTCCATCAATAAGGTTTTAGAAGACTCTAGAATACTTAGTTTAAACTAAACAAAGTCTTGTCTCTAGGTAACTTGCGACCCAACATGCAAGTAAGTTAATCTGGTAGCATCATGTTAGGTTCAGGAATATGAATCAGGTGAAACAGTAGGTCCCTTGGGTTAACTGGGTGATGGGTTCGACTGCGAGGGAGCAAACTGAATATGCCTGAACAAGCTTGTCAGCTGGCACTGTGAATGGAAAGTATAAAACAAAAAATAAAGGTGATTGCTTCTTACATGCCCCTGGCACTGATAGAATCAGGCTTTACAAAAATGAATTCTGTTCCCTTTCATATGGACTTCAGTATCATCACAAGGTGATTTTGAAAAAGAAATTCTAACAAAGGTTCAAACAGCTCAGTCTGTAACTTTGTCCCCAATTTCCCCAGATGTGAATTCACTTAAAACTATTGTGTAAAATTACTGATAACTAACACATCTTACCATAAGCACAAACTTTTTGAAATGATGCACGTATCCTTTTCAACATATCACTCGGACAATATCTAGATTACATGGCCAGGTTAAAAAACGAAATGCTAGAATGATCCCCACCCAACACACACATCTCTACTTCATAAATAGTAAGGCCGAGCTGTATTATTTTCCAACAGGAAAATCCTGGGAAAACTGTATTAGCAAAGCACCTCTAAAATAATCTGTCTGACATCTGCAGCATTTTCCCTTAAAATAAACCAAATATCAAAAGCAGGCTAATTAATAAGCAGCTAAAGTTAACTGGGAAAAGAGCCACAAAGAACTTGATAAAACAAAAAACAAAACAAAGATGCAGCAAAGTGTTTTGGGTTATCTTTTTCCCCAAGCAAAGTTATTTATTTATGAAAAAATTTACGGAGAAAATTTCTACCTCATGCTCAAGGCTTTAGCACATGCTTCTGATTGGCACAATATGTGGATACACAAAGAGCCTCATGAGGTCCATTTAGTTAGCCTAAAATAAATATTTCCAACTCATTCTTGAGCTCAAATAATAATTGCTTGATTGTAACTTCTAATATGCATGGGTCAGTTATTCTATTGTTTCTTTCAAGTACTTGTCCATCTGTTTTTGAGACCCTAAACATCTAAATTATATAAATTACATAAAGCGAGATACTGAAGGGTCTTTTTTATTCTGCTGTCCAGTACTGTCAAGCACATCTATTTTGTTTGTTTGCTTTAATTAACAGACTATTTGTTTTCTTTGAAACCAGGTTACCCACAAAGTGAGACACTTTTTGCGGCAGGAATTCCAAAAGGTGTGGGTGACTTATAATGAATATAAACATTGATCAGTTCATCCAGCCAGATTTATAAAGTTTTTTTCCCCTTCTACGGGAAGGGGGGGGTGGAAACCACAAAAAGATTTAAACTGAGGTACAGCCCAGCCAAATTTAAGCATTTCCCCAGTTCCACTGCTTTCAACGAGAGTTAAGCATCAGTTTAATTTTAGCCACATTGAAATCAACGAAACTAGTTTCTTAACTCATATTCCGCACTGAGACAAAATAGAAAGACCAGTGACGGTTACATCTTGAAAGAAAACAGCATAGCTGCCTTTGTTTATCAAGATGAAACAGCGTGCCATCTATGCCTTTATTGTTTAATGCTGAGGAGGAGGGGTGGTTTTTCCTCTCTCTCATCTTCTTGTAGTTTATTCAACATAGATACAGGGAAGGATTAGCAGTTAAGCACAAGCAAACGTGTTTTACAATTTCAACCTTTTAGTGCATAACTTCCTTACTTAAACTACTAGAGCCTATAATCACAACGATTTTACCTGATGGAACACGTTTTTCAGAAATATAATCCAACTGTTTATCCTAACATGTCATAAATTGCAATTCTCCCCAAAAGCCTGTAAGACTGACATCCATCGCTCTTAAAACGCCTATTGCCTTTGCAGACACATCATCAACAAAGGATTTCTCCATTATTATTCCCCAACTTAGTTAAATATGAGTTCTGAGGTTGCCTTTGCTCAACACACGATTGTCCCGAAGGCCATTTTGAGGTCATCCGTGTTCACATCAGGCACATGACAACCACACAGCGAGTTGACTTTTGGGTGGCAGATGAGGGAAAAAAATCCTGGAACCTGTCCAGGCCCAATTTTATGTGTGAAAGTTCTGTAAAATTTTGCTTTATTGTCTCCCTTAATTAGGATTTATGAGGAGCATTTCCTGAAGTGTCACAGTGTTGTGTTGCAACGTTCTTGGGAATTTAAACACCATCACTGGCAAAGTGGCAGGCAGTTGGGCCACCTGATTGCAGTGTGCATCCAGGGTGACATGAATCTCTCAACAGCATTTTGGTAGAGAGCTTGAGAGTTGCTCCTGTTCAACAGGCAGGGCCCCTGAATTCGATGCTGAGGATCCCCTTGAGGAGATTGATACCTGACAAAGAGCCCAGGCTTTCCATGATGCTGTAAACATCACCAAAAAACAACACCACCTTCCTTCTGTCCTGAATCTTCCAACATTCAGAGTTTGTGATGACTCTAGTTTCTAGTATTACGACCAAGGTAGAAAAAGTTCCCTATCTACTTTGTTGTTCTTGTGAGCTCGCCAGAGGCATCCGACTCTCCTCTGTTAGAAATGGGTTGCAGGGCAAGATGAATCTTTGGTCTGATCTGTTCTTCCATTCTGATAAGACGATGGCAACAACACAGAAGGGATGCATTTCATATGTGAATTAGCCAACAGGCAGAACTTTCTGATCTGCCAGGCATCAAGTGCTTAGTAATCAAATAATAAACAAAGGTATGGGCACATGTATATTTTTAGTCAGGCCAAAGAAAAATTGCATTAAATATTAGGATGAACTGTTCTGATAATGTAAGCGGCAGCAGAAACGGCTGACTAACTATGGAATAAATTTGTCAGTTTAAATTCTAAGCCAGAACACTTTTGGTAGAGAATATTTTTATTACTAATAGTACAACTATTGTTATTATTTGGACATTAATTTAGTAGCTGAGGATACTGTGCAGTTGTTTGAGCAGTTATTAAACAAAGTGACATATAGGATTAATACTGTGAATTGTCAAGATCCTGAGGATTCTGCATCTTAAATTGCATAGGCAGAGACAGACTGTATTTAGCACAGAGAGTAGTGAATAGAACTGTCCTTGAACCTGGTGAGATCTGGGTTCAACTCTGGACTGGGCCATGAAACTCACTGGATGGCCTTGGGCCAGTCACTGTCTCTCAGCCTAGCCAACCTCCTGAAGGCAAAATTAGTTCACTCTTTGCAGATATGCCGCCTTCGACTCTTTTCCAGCTATGTAATAAATGCATATGCAGTTCAATCTTGTGCATGTCTATTCAGAACAAATCCTCCCTAAACTCCATGTGGATTTCTCCCAGATGCCTGTGTGTAGAAAAGCAATCTTAATTAATTAAAGGAATAAATTGCACTTTTCTTTCCTCCGGAACCATCAGTAGACTTTTGGCTTCTGTTCTGCACATTAGGTGGCAAACCTCTCTCAATTATTGATTCATTTATATGGATCTATAGCACACAGACCATGCAATTCCAGGTCAGGTTATATGCAGTTTAATATAGCAAATATTGTTTGCCTAATGCAAACAAACCAGGACTTCACAACATCTGGTTTTGAACTACAACTCCTGTTCACCCTAACCAGTGTAGTCGTTGGTCAGGGATGATGGGAGCTATATCTTCTCAGCTTAGAGAAGACTGCACTAAAACACAAAACAAAATGTGTAAAACAGCAAAACCAAACCAGCAATGATACTGCAGAATTAGTGCTGGTGGATAATTCTGATCTTATCCCAACTCCCTAAAAGAAGGCCTGCGCAAAAAAAGGATTGTCTTGAATCACCACCAATACATGCACAATTATGGGGCCAGGCACACCTTGAAGGGGAGGGCTTTCCACTGCAAAGGAGGTCCTCTCATGAACCACCACCCCATGAACTTCACAGCATGGCAGATCTAACAGCAGTGCCTCTCCTGCAGGCAAGTCTATATGGGAAAGTCAGTTGCTATATTGTACTATTCACTGAGAGCCAGTACAAAGGCAAAATGCACTGGTAAATAACTAATTTTATTGAAGGATCACTTTGTGAGGGGGGTCAAGAACATTTTCCCATCTGAGAGCCACACTGCCTCCTGGGCAACCTTCAGAGGGCCACATGTCAATGGTAGGTGTGGCTAGAGGCAAAAACAAGCTGAGCATTAAATGTGAATGTTACCTTTGTACAGTAGCCTATTTCTACACACACACATCCCTCTGCATCCTCCACACAGACAAGCAAGAAGCATTGTTAGAGTTCAAGGTCAAATCCCAGCCAGACAAAGAAGATTGTGACTTGGAGAAGGTGTGTGGCTTAGATAAATCCACTACGCTAAGGCTGAGGTTCCCACTCTTAGGATAGGAGGTAACACACTAGGGTCATCACATTATTACTGTTTCCGTTCTATTGTGTTGGCAGAAGGCAGCCAGCTGGCACTCAGTTTGCCTTGGAGTGTTCCACTGCTGATCCCTATTCCAAAATATTTGACCAAAATGTTTCTAAAACTATGAAACCAGAAGATGCAAGGCTCTGATAAGAATACACTTTGAGACGCAAGAGGTTTAGGAAATGGTGCTATTCTAGTTTCAACATATATATTGTAGGGCATCCAACAGGAAATAGTCTCCCCCGACCCCCAGTCCCAGACCACATTCGTATTTTTATTTTATTTTTATACCACACTTTCCCCCATGGGAGCCCATGTGCTGAGCTGCATAAAAAGCCAATCTATGCAATAAAAACTTACTTAAAATACATCCTTTAAAACTTAATACAAATAATACCAGCAACTGAGATTATGATAGACCAGAATTCCCCAGCCTGTTTTCTGGATGTTTGCTGCTGCAAAACTCCCACCAGATCCAGCCAGACCCAACCCAACGACTTCCCAATGTTTTGGTTTACATCTTCCATCAGCCTCAGTCATTGCAGCTGAACCCTAGGTTGGCAAATGCTGCAATACAGAAGAGATAGAAATTTGGGTAAACAAAATATGACCTCCATCTGGCTGAGCACCAACAATACATGAGACGGACACACTATCCTGGGGCGGGAGTTCCACAAATGGGGTGTTGCCATGGAGAAGACCATGTCTTGAGTCACCACCCGAAATGCCACCCTCATCCGTGGCACCAACACAACTACTGAGCAACTCACAAAGTATTTGAAATTTATAACATAAGTTAGATAGTTTGCCCTATTCCACCATTTTCTTGTAGGCATTTCCAACGCATAGTAAAGGATTAAAACACCAAAGGTTCTTCCCATGTTATGATCATGTCTTTGAATAAACAGAGGTCCTTCGTAGCTAATCCTGCTAACTGGTAACTTTTTTCCACAAGTGAAAACCCTACTCCAAAATTACAAGGAATGTCAATTCAATGCTGTACAATTTTTCCTTAGGGCTCACTTATTTAAAACATTTTTATCTCCCACAAGGCAAATAAAGGGTCCCAGAGTGACTTGCAAATGTCAGTGATAAGAGACTCAATTCCCAGAGGCTTCCAGTCTAAACAACATGACAGAAAAGATACGGGACTGGGGGAACCAGAGAACTATTTCTTAGTTACAGAGTTCTCATAATGACCTTCTGGGATGGAAATAATTTAAGGAGAGGAGCAGCCAAAAGTTCCTGGTCTTTCAGCAGAGCTAACCTGAAATCCCATCTCTCTCCCTCTCCTTTAGCCTGAAGAAATGGCTACTGATGATAGCTGGGGGAGGAACCTGAGAGACAGGTTCAACAATGCATCCGGTCTAATTTTTGCTCAGTGAGGGTCATGTCCTTGTAAAGATGCACAGGATAGGATCTCCGGCTGGCAATTATGTCATGCAGGCCATCATTGGACAACATGGGAAATGTCTCCTCTTGGAGATTAGGCAGGAACTGAGTTTTTGGTGCTTCCAGTGTGCTGTAAAAACTTAGCTATTTGGCTCAGGCATTTCCAGACTGTACGGCCAGTTTTCAGCACCCTGACTGCTGTAACTGATAATATTTTACTGATATGGTTTTTACAGATAGGTTTAAGATTTGTTCTTATATTATGTGTCTGGCTTGGGGAGGGTTTTTTGTTTTTGTTTTTCGCTTGTAAACCACTTGGGTACTCTCTAGAGTAAAAGATGGTATAGAAATAGTAAATACAGAAAAAAAAGTTATTCTGGCAATATCTATCTGCTATCATAAGCAAATTTTCGAAGTCCATCTAGACCTTTAAAAAAAAAAGTTTACTATTAAAATGACATGCAAATCCAGATCATAATTTTTAACTGGATGTTTAAAATGTTTGCATCGTTTTTAGAAATGAAGCTCATTTCATGGTTTTTACACTTTTTTATTTATGGTTTTCACTGTTTATAATTGTGTATTTTTAAGTTTTATAAACAAACTTCATTAAATCTCATGTATACGCAGTCAATAACTACAAAAGATAAACTCCATATAATAAATACATTATAAATGTTATAGTTAATGTTATATCACATAGAAAAAACTGCCGTTCAAAATTTATGTTATATTTATTTTTCATAAATTCAATAAGGTTTCATTTATCTCTCATATTTTCTCTTTCTTGTGTGCCTTCTTTTACTCTAATCAATTTCATAAGCTCAAACATTGTTACCCCCACAAATTTTTGGTCAACCACTCTTTCACTGTTGGTGGTAACCTATTTTTCCTTTTTTGTGTGCAGCTAGCATGCAAGGAAGTACTATTAAATTCCATATTAAATCCTTATGGTTTATTTGTGTCTCTAAATGCCTTAATAAAATTATCAGGGGTCCAATGGTAAAATGTAAGATGTTATTAATGATATTATCTTTACTACTTCTCCCCAAATGATTTAAACTATTGCACAGGTCCACCAAATATGTCCCATATCCTTTTTTAAATATCCACTTCGCCAGTCCTTTCCATCACACATTTTAATGCTTATATTGTTTTGATATTTGGAACTGTTTTTAATTGTTTTTATGCCGTTGTTTTATGGTTGTAAACGTTTCATAAATGTATATTTTATTGTAACCCATACTGGGACCTTATGGTAAAGGGTGGAGAAGAGATGTTAAATGTTTTAAATTATTTGAAATTTGCAATTATTTAACATAATTTTATTCTTTTTCTTGGCAAGGCTCCCGTGTCTTTAACAGCAACTTGACAGGGAGACAAGAGAAACGTTTCCTGGAGTGATGGACAAAAGCAGAAACAGTAAAATAAAAAAAAATAATGTTAACAACCCTAGGCATGTACACACCCCTTAGAAACCTAGGAAGCTGACTTATATTGAGTTGGACCCAGTGCTTTTTTCTGGGGGCTGGAACGCAGGGGGACGCATACCCCTTAACATTTTGTGATCTAACGCGAGAAGAAACTAAAATTCTTTTTAAAAATTAGTTTCTTCTCTAACACGGTGAATCATCAGTTCCGTTGAACAGCACGGTGTATCATGAGTTCTGTTGCTACCCCCCAATGGCAGCCTCATTTCCTATCATGGTGTTTCCTGAGGCCCAGACAGAATGAGAGTACCCCTAAACTTTTTCTTTTAGAAAAAAAAAAGGACTGCTTGGGTCAATAGTTAATTTAGCTCAGTATTGTCTACAATGCTTGGCAGCAAGCAGCTCAGGGCTTCAGGCAATGAATGTGTGGCATTAGTGGACAGTGGGGTGGGGCAGTGGTGACTTCCAGTGGCCAGTCTTGTCCACCCCCCAACCCTCCCAGTAGGTAGGAACATCATGATCAACCACAGGTCAAGGGAATGCCACACAACACGGCCCACTACAGTCTCCCTGCCTTGCCAAGAGATGCTGTGGATTGAACCTAGGACCTTCTGTAAATGCTCTACTACAGTGGTACCTCGGGTTACAGACGCTTCAGGTTACAGACTCCGCTAACCCAGAAATAGTACCTCGGGTTAAGAATTTGCTTCAGGGTGAGAACAGAAATCGCATGGCAGCGGGAAGTCCCATTAGCGAAAGTGGTGCTTCAGGTTAAGAACAGTTTCAAGTTAAAAACAGACCTCCAGAACGAGGTACAACTGTACTGAGCTATGGCCCTTCACAAAATGCTTGCTTCCACACACACACACACAGTCATACACAGAATATGGCACTCTCTTTCTGTTCATTTGTAAGGAATAATAAATGCCAACTCCTGGCTCTCTACTTCTAGTCACTGCTGCAAATTAATATCTCTGCCTCTGTTATAAACCAACATGAAAATATATTTCCTTTCTACCTGAAAGAACACTCTCTGCTACTTCTTTTACTAGAGCTGTTTTTGAATAAGTGGTTTCGACACTGTGGTCTTTCAGTGATATCCACAAAACCATTAAGGCTAATTTGTAGCATTCAGGCTTAAGCTAGCTGTGACCCCACTGGTTTAATTACAAGTACACCCACTAAATAGGTTGTGAGTCACAGGCTGAAATGTAAGAGTTCAGAGGTATGCATCTGTTAAAGGGGGAAAAAAAACCACCCTTGTTTGCCAGCCAAGACTCAGGCTGATCTATGAAGTCAGCCATTCAAATGTGCTAACTAGCCTTTCCAACATGGCAATGATAAAAAGGTAAAGGTACCCCTGCCCGTACGGGCCAGTCTTGACAGACTCTAGGGTTGTGCGCCCATCTCACTCAAGAGGCCGGGGGCCAGCGCTATCCGGAGACACTTCCGGGTCATGTGGTCAGCGTGATATCGCTGCTCTGGCGAGCCAGAGCCGCACACGGAATGCCGTTTACCTTCCCGCTAGTAAGCGGTCCCTATTTATCTACTTGCACCCGGGGGTGCTTTCGAACTGCTAGGTTGGCAGGCGCTGGGACCGAACAACGGGAGCGCACCCCGCCACGGGGATTCGAACCGCCGACCTTTCGATCGGCAAGCCCTAGGCGCTGAGGCTTTTACCCACAGCGCCACCCGTGTTTATGGCAATGATAGTAACCCCAATATTCTTGAAGGCATCAAAATAGATAACTGCTGCACAGGTAATTTAGCAATAATCATGGTATAGTCACTATCGTGCATCTTAAGTACACCACATGGATTATATCTCAGGGATTTTTATGACATCCCTGGAAGATAGGACAGTGTTGTTGTTGTTGTTGTTGTTGTTGTTATTAAGCATTACTGCTACTTCTGAGGTGGAGTGTAGTTTTAATAAACTTTTATGAAACCTTTTAGAAACTTCAGTTTCTGTTGTCTACCTGATGTGGCATATAGCTTTATATTGCACTTTACCTTTTGGTATTATTTGCCACCTAGGAACTTTTAGAGTTGAAAGTGTGGGATATAAATTTAACACATAAATAATACATTGGCCTCAGATTATACGCTGAGGTGTGCTGGGCTCACCCCAGTTCACCCTCAACCACCATGACCCTATATTTGCTTCCCCAAGTCCCACAGGATGCTCATGATAGCCCAGGCTGGATTCCCCAAGCCATATTTGGAATCTTGGGTGATTTCTTTCTGTCTTTCATAATCTACCCTTCATCAAAAGAGTTCAGGGCAGTGTACATTAGGGTACATTATTCTTCCCACCACCATCATTTTATCCTCAAAACAACCCTGTAAAGTAGGTTAGGTTGAGACGTGATGACAGGCCCAAGGTTCCTGGATGACTGGGCATTCGAAACTGGATCTCCTCCACTCCTAGTCCAATGCTCTAGCCCAGGGGTGGAGAACCTAATGATCTCCAGATGTTGTTAGACTCCAACTCATCCCTGATTGGCCAGGCTCGCTGGGGCTGATGGGAGCTGGGATGAAGCAACACCTGGAGGATCACAGATTCCCCACCGCACCTCTAACCACTACCCAAGAATGCCTTTATACCTTTCCAAATGCACAAGTAGTGACATTTAATATTGTGGTGAGAGATTTTGTAATACCTCCTTGTAGCTACTTCCCACACTTCCAGCTGTCCACCTAATGTCAAGACACACCAACATGAGCAAGTATTCATCCATTCCCTGACTTTATGTTACCTTTAACCCCTTCTCAGTCAGCAGGGATGGACAAATAAATGCAGGAGGTCTCCCACTGCGAGGCAACCATCTAACAGTATTGGGATCGCACCGTAGTGGTGCTGTTTGCAAAGAGTCCAGCTATCCAAATACCACGCAGTCATCAGCCAAGAGAGAATGGGGTGAGGAGTATTTGCACCAGACTGTCACTTAATTTCATTTCTTGCAAATACATTTTTTGGTGAAAGGCCGCTTGCCGTGCTGAGCTCTCTTCCTGCACTCTGCAAGTGCAACGAAGTAAAGTGGCAGCCTCCAAGCTGTCTGCTTTCACTGTAGCCAAGATTTATTTACATAGCTTGTGGTGTGAGGTCTGAATTTAAGTTCAGGGGAAAAAGGAAACATCTTTCAAATACATGTGTTTCACCTTGCTTTAAAAATGCGCCCTCCATTGTAACAATAATGTCTTCTGTCAACATGCATTATCTGACATACAATGCATAGTCACTACCGTTAAAAGCTAGATGTGTACGCCATGCCTTACTTAAATACACCGCGATCGTTCCACTCTTGCCAATTTGGAGAACAAGGAATAATGAAAGTAGAAACATCACAAAGCAAACACATCTGCAATAAAGGCCCATTCAAAAAGAAAATGTCAACAGTAAGTGCAGCCCCTAGAGGTTTTCTTTTCATAAATGTTCCCTACGCTATGCAAGTGTTTTAAACCATAGAAGACCTGCACCAGGTAAATCATACAAATGCATTTCCATAAAAGTAGACTTAGGACTAGCACTTGTCAAATTACAGCTGGGTTTCAAGCCCCTACGGTAACATAGGCAAGGGAGTTTGAACCACTCCCAGGACGTGTGGTGGTTGGGACACAAATTATAGGTGCTACACGATCATCACCATGAGATGAAGCTCCTGTGAGGCAGTGCTGATTCACACTGTGAGTCATCACAGTTAATATAAAGCTTTGTACAGCTCAGGGCCCTGATATCTATCAGAGAACCTCTCTTGATGTAGGCCTATCTGAACCCTTTGGTCTTCCACTGAGGACTTCTTCTGGGTGCCCCCCTCTGAGGGTCATCAAGGGTGACCAGGGAGAGAGCCTTTTCTGTGGTGGCTTCCTACTTGTGGAAGGCTTTCCCCACTGAGGTCCACCTGGCAGCAGCATTAGCATCCTGTCAGCAGCATGTAGAAATGTAACACTTCTCCCAGGCATTTGACAGATAAGGAATTTGCTATGTTTTTTGCTACTAAAGTTTTTGCTGATGCTTCATTGGGTCTGTTTTATATCTCATGTGGCTACCAAACAGTGCATCAGCCAATGACATACATCTCCCCAGGATCTGCAGGATGAGCAAACGTAGCACAGTTTTACATGGTATGTTCATCTGCACAACCCATGCTGTTTTACGTTTAACCAAGGCAAGGAATGTTCAGCCTAGAGTGGCCTATCATATACCAGAACACTGAAGTGTTAAATGGTTTACTTCACAAAGACGCGAGATGATCCTAGTACCCTGAGAGAAGAATTGGATTATTCTGACCATCTGCCTCCCACATTATCAGACTGAGACTTTAAACAGACAATGCTGGAAGAAGAAAAAAAGTTGCTTAGCTAACACCAATATTATTTGTCACTGCTGTCAACACTGAATTGAGTATCTTAAGCTAGTTTGAATTAAAAGATATTGCAGGCACTAAAATTAAAGTGCTAGACCTTACACAATAGGTCCACGTGGGACTTAAAATATCATATTAACAATACTGTGAGATTGCATATTAAGAGTAAGCTCTCACTGCTTACCCACCTGGACAATACATTTACAATTACTGTTTCTTTTAAGCATTTACATATCACCCTCCATAAATATTTTCCCCAGAAGTATGTTACAATGCAGATTAGAAACAAAGCAATTTAATTTTAAAAAACCAGTAACATATAAAACAAGTAAATAATTGTCAGAGCAGCTGAGTGAAAAACACAGTTTACTGTATTTTTCGCTCTATAAGACGCACCAGACCACAAGACGCACCTAGTTTTTGGAGGAGGAAAGCAAGAAAAAAAATATTCTGAATCTCAGAAGCCAGAACAACAAGAGGGATCGCTGCACAGCGATCCCTCTTGCTGTTCTGGCTTCTGGGATAGCTGCGCAGCCTGCATTCACTCCATAAGACGCACACACATTTCCCCTTACTTTTTAGGAGGGAAAAAGTGAATCTTATAGAGCAAAAAATACAGTATGTCCATTTCCTCCAACAACTTATTCAAATGCCTGTG